CTCGGTGGCTGCCCCGACCCTCTGGAACGAACTCCCCGTGGAGATTCGGACCCTCACCATCCTCCAGTCCTTCCGCACCGCCTTAAAAATCTGGCTGTCCCAGCTGGCCCGGGGTTAAGATTCTAACCCCACTCGAATTGTGTGACTGTTGTGTGTGTTTTTTTTAATATGTTGTATTGTCTGTATGTTGGAAACTGTTTGTCCTTCCCCCCCCCCTTTTTAAACTGTGAGCCGCCCTGAGTCCCCCCAGGGAAAAGGGCGGCATACAAATAAAGGGAAAATAAAAAAATAAAATAAAAAAAAATTTCCATTGGCCCTTCTCTTTCCCCCTCCTTAGCCTCCTTCTGCCAGCATGCACTTGGCAGGCAGTCGTGATCTTTAGATTGACTTTTATTTTGTTAGCCCAAAGGGGGGGGGGAGGTGCTTGGAATGGCACGTAGGAAATCACCCTGTCTCTGCAGTAACAGCCTGCCTGCACCACCCCACCTTGCCATGAATGACGTCAAGTTGAGCACACCCACTCAGTCACATGACCACCCAGCCACCCCCACCCAGCCAGTCATTAGGGCAGAGAATTGTTAAAATTTTTGAATCCCACCACTGGATAAAACCTGTTTTTCTACAATGCATTTAAAATGTAGAATTGGACATAAATTCCAAATAGTTGTCTTTAGTTAGGAAATATATTCAATTATGGGGGCTTTTTTAAAAAAAAAAACTTCTCAGACAAATATTAACAGAGCTGGCATAGCCCCACTCCTGGGGGAGAAATGGGAAAATCTAATGTGCTGTAGTCCTGCCTACCCATTTTAGGCTAGGCCTCCATCAAATGTTCAGTGCCTTCCTTAGTGAAAATAGATTTATGAAGACCATGATATTTCAAGACTTACATATGCTCTGCTGTTCCAACACATCTGGTGGAAATCCAAGTTCTGCTATTCACATGAATTTCTTTTATCAGCAGCATCAGAAGAACAACATTTTTTCTTTCCTCACAGCCCCTCACATATTTTAAGTTTTTTCTTCTAGAAATTGGAGATAAACCAGTTGCGAAGGTTGAGACTGAATTCAGCCAATAGTTTGACTTAAACATAATATTTAATGGTTTTTCATTCTCCCTTAAATACATTATTCTACTGGTTTGGTATTATGTCACCTGATTTTCACCAAAGCAAGTGTATTTTTTGGAAATAATTCAAAGTCAATCTTTCAGAAATTAATTGATAAAACACTGTTTTCTGAGTCTTTTTTCTAGAGCACTTTTTTGTAATATTTTGAAATAAAATGCATTCAGGGCTCCAAAGAGTATAATTAAAAAAAAAATCAAGATGGCAACTATGATAGCATAACCTAACCTCTGATCACCTTTTCTGCATTTTACATGAACAACACATTAAAAAAATGAAACTTCAATTGTATTAGGTCAGTATTACACAACAACAAATTAAATTTAATGAAACAGGCTGATGCAAAATATACTTATATGAAAGAATTTAAATATTTAACTGCTCACATCTATTCTGATGCAAATTAATCTCATTTCCATGCAGGTATATAATATTTTGCCCTAAACTCAGTACTTTAATTTGAAAATAAGAGATATTCCCATCCTTAGTGTATTTTCTTAGCTTTAAGTTTGTAAGACTTATTTTGATAGGTTTCCTTTTAATGGTATGGGTTTAAGATCAAGTTATTAGAAAAACAGATGTTACTGTGTTGATGGAAACCAGAAATAGGACACAAGATGGAAGAGGCTGAATGAGAATCATAATGATTAAATTAAATGTTCTCTGAAAAAAACCTAACAATATAAAGTCTGGATAAAGTTATTGCTCAATCCATAGAATCTATGTGTATATAAGGAAGTAAAGTTAATTTTTATAGAAATGTTTCAGAATGTGAGTTGCCAAGTAGAATAATTCTTGACAAGTGAGGCAGCAAATACTGTCAGTTTAATAAGTTTCAAGTTTTGTACCTCTCTTGAGGGGGCTGACACTTTCCCACAGAGCAATTCATATAGGCCCAGCTACCTCACAATGGGCAATAGTGCCATGACCAATCACCACGTCCACTTGACTCATCTACACGCGACCTCACCATCATTTTTCACTGTGCCAATCACAGTGCCAAACTATCTCAAGCTGAAAAGTCTTGGCTAAGGGTCAATTGCTTTTTTGTGTGGACATAAAGGGGTACTCTGTGTGCCAAACTTTTCTCCTGTCTCACATTCCACAAGGATTTCTTGATGCCATTTAAAGCGCCTAATGAAAAATAAAGCAGTGAATGAAAGTGACTTTTATAGACTCATTCTAGCTCATCTTCCCATATAACCCTGTCTACCTGAAAAAGGATTTAGTGAGCTGAGCTGACTGCATACAGGGACTTTCTGAATACATTGAGCCAATTATCAACTACAGCAATTGTTTTTAACTAGGATTGATACACTACTATTTTAGAAGTGACCTATTAATTATCCATTTAACGAGTGTATTGAATTGCAATGGAAAAAAAGAAACCATGACAAAAGTCTTTCCTTGCTTCTTCAAGGTGTCTTGGCCATAAAAGCAAATGAAGTTTGGTCCACAGATTTAAGAAGACATGTATCATCATATACTCTAATACTAAGAAAAAGCTTAGTACTTTCTGAAAATTTTTGCTATCATACCAATGTATGTGTTAACAAGGTATTATACCCTTCCCATATGGAATTCAGCAGAATGGGGTTGCAAGTGGCTGCAGCTCATTTATCCTGATGTAAATTCTTCCTATTACAATGGCTCATATTTGCTAGATGGTCATTTGCCAGAGAAGCAGAATAGAATGTCTGTTTTTTGACTTGCCATGCAGTGCTCATTGGTCTAGCTCTGCTACTGCTTTCCTATTATAATTTATAAAGCACTTTTTGAATTTGAACTGATAAATATACATAAAAAACTTGTATAAAAATACATCAAGGCATATCCAATCCCCTAGAAGATCACAGATATTTTATTAGGTGCTATTTTGAACCATGGTCCTAATTTGTAACCAGACATTCTATGATTTAATTAGTAAGTTTCTTCCCTATCGCAGACTGAGAAACTATAGAAAACTGATCATTATACTTATGGGTTTCTGGATAGAGCGTCTGGATCATTAATATGCAAGGATTTATATAGGATCCTTGGGACTGTAAACAGGGCCACCTGTTTATTTAGATCCATGACCTTCCTGGCTACTGAAAGCCACTCCAAAATGTAATTGCATCCATGTGGTAGGATGCCCTTCAATATAAGGGGTGGTTTTATCCACATTAAAAAAGACACTTTAAGGTATGCCTCCTCCTCAAGAAACTATATTTGGATTTAAAACTCTTGGACATTATTTATTGAACATTCAACTTTTTCTTCT